GGTGCCTGTCCCTGAGGCTGTGGAGGTGCTGGTAATGCCAGATATGTCTGTCCCTGAATCCGTGGAATCTGTGGAGCGAGTAAAGGTACCGGTGCCCTCTGTCCCTACTGCACATGTTATCCCTGTCCCTGTCCTGCTTTAGGACACTACCTAAAAGTATGACTTCTCTATAATCAAACTTACAGAATTGATTCCACAAGTTTCTTTTATAAACTCATTGGTAATCATCCCGTCTCAACCCAACGTCCCTATAAGCAAAGATTTGATTGCTTGTCCAAATTATCACTCCACTAAGATAACCCTTTACTATTGAAACAATCACATTCTAAAATAGTTTAATAAAACAATTTATGGCAAAACTCAAAAATACTTTTATGAAACACAATTGAGATGCCAAAACCATAAGTTCACTTTATTAAGAACTTCTCTAAATCATAAACCTCCAAAAGAATAATTGTCAAATATTCCTTATAATACTACTAGTGTACGTGATTAAATCTGTATTACACTTTTCTAAAACCTCCACTACTACTAGTAATTAAAATTACTTTTAAAAGAGCATTCATCCTTGAACTCCGATATCCTCCATCTTAGATGCTCTGATATCTCCTCTATCATGATCTTCTTCGGGGTCTTCCTCTCCTCTTGGCTCAGCTTCAACCACCACCGAAGTTGTGTTAGGTCCATAGTATGGTGGCCAATCCCGCACACAAGAAACCTTCTTTGGCTTATACTCCGATACAACACTGATTGGAAACAAGTCCTTGGTCTCCAATGCTGCCTTCTTGATCCACCTTTGCAAGGGAATCGTCGGAGTAATCTCTTTCCTCCTTGGGTCCTTCTTTACTTTCATTGCGGACCACATCCTTTTCCTAGTGCCAAACATTCTGAAATTACAGAATAAACTTGACATCAGGACGTTCTAAGTGAACCGTAAAGGAATACAACGAATCCTAAACTTAAGATCTAAACAAGAGAATACGTTACGTAAAAGTCTTAATATGAAATACCCTAGAGACACTGAACTTGGAGTGCTCTGATACCAACTATGATACCCCTTGATTCTAGAGCCACGGATGATCAAATCCGAGCACAGATCTGAGGGATACCAAACAATTAATATGTAAACAAATAGGAATACAAAAAGAATTAAGAAATAAATTAAAGCTAACAGAATTCTAAATATTAAATCCTCAAAATTAAATAATTAAAATAATCTGACAATCCAAAACCTTCAAGAGTACAACTCGAAAATCCATCTAGTGAACCCCTAAACAAAATCCCAACTAAAACTAATAACTGAAAATAAAATCCATAAATAAAACATAAAGGGAAATCCTACGTAATCGGAGGAATGAGTGACTATCTCTACTTAGCACGATCAAGCTCTATGGCTGGAACTATCAAATACCTGAAAAATAAGAGTGGGTCAGGCCCACGAACAAGTTCGATTCTAACTACAATCCAAACAGAGACTCGATACATAGATACATACTAGATATCTCAACAATATCTATCTAGTCCATACATATATATATCCATACTAAGGGACTCTCACTAGACTACGAAGGGGTCTCAATCTGAATAGAAGGTAACATGCAAAACGCACCAGAGGTGTGCATGAGTACCTAGACCTAACAGAGTACACCTCAACCGTCATAGCCAGTTATGTATCCCAATGCATGTACGCTCCTTAACCATCGACTCTGAGACTCAAACTCAAACCGTGGTACCATAATCATATATTTAAGATCCATCCAAAAACTAGAGTATGTCATTCAATTATTCATTGATCTGACATAAATAACTACTAATTCAGTTAGTCACTCAACTTATTCAGTTGATCTGACTTAACCACAAATAATAAATAATAAAGGTAGTCACTCAACTTACTCAGTTGATCTAACTTAAATATAAGTAGGATTTAATTTTTATAATCCATCCCCTTATTCCCAAAATAAGTAGGCCATAGCGTTTTGAGCTAAATCATCCCTAGTATGCCACCGTCCCATACCGGTGCATACAATCCATCACATCCATATAATTGATAGAACATATTTTAACGGTTCATCAATTAACATCCAAAATAACATCTATGTAATTGACAATTTAAATAATCAGATTTAAACTTCAATCAATCCACAAGACAGTCCAATAATTGACAAAGTAGTAATCAATAGAGCGTGAATTAAAATCCAAGGAATGATATAATATAAATTAGATAACCAACTGAACATATTATAGTTAATTATACTTAGGTATAATCGTGTAAATCCGATTAACTTACTAAAATAACAAGAAGTAAATAAATCTTCCACATCCACTGACAGCATGCAAATAATTAATTAAATTTCATGATGTCCAGTAATATTAGCACATTAGCATATACTAACTATTTTAGGGTTTTAACAAGTTGATTTAAATCAATTAAAACCTTCCATTAATTTTTAGTATTCACAATTAAGCCCCTGGAATCAAAAAATATCAAAAATACACCCCGTGGGGGTGTTCCAGCATGGGAGCCGGCTCTCTCACTTAGGGAGCCGGCTCCCTCCTTTAGGGAGCTAGCTCTCTCTCCCACAGAGAGCCGTTTCCTCATCTGGTTCATCTTCTTCGCCTCTGATGACGTTACAGAACCTTCTGTGATGTCTAATATAGTTCTTAGGGTTCAATTCATGTCCCAAAATTCCTTATAAAGCATCTAAACTCCAATATGCATCATTAATATAAACTTAAAACACATATGAGAAAACAATTGATGCGAAGAATCAGCTTGAATTTACAATACATACACAGTTTAATTCTGATTTAATAAACATACAAGATTTATTTAATGTTTGATTTAAAATCCTAGAGATCATCTAGGCATGCACAGAACACGGGTCAAGGGGAGAGAGTAAGAATAAAAATTGCCTTGAAGATTTCAGTATTGAAACCTTAATTTCGTCTTCCTAAGTTTTCCAACGACCCTGCACTGCTCTAACTCCTCTATTTTCTCTCAGATATCTCTGTATCTCGTCGCCTCCACAGTTACGTGATTAGGGTTCTAAAACCCTTGGCAGACTTATACAAGTATATATATAGGTTTATACTTAACCTAATTCTTATAATACGAGAAAACAAAAAAGAAAAGAAAATAAAATAAAATAAATGAATATATATATATATATATATCAGTCGGCACAAAGTGACCTCCTAAGTACATATAAAAACCCTAAAACTGTACGACATAATCATGAATAATAATACTAATCTAATTATTAATAGAACCAAATAATTAAATAAACCTTATATACATATATATCTATTTATATATGTATAACCAACCATGGGTATTAACTGTACCCATTAATCTCCTATCCAAGCCCAATTCCATAAAGTAAAATAAATATGTAATTTAAACAATTAATTTACAAATCCACATAAAACAAATAAATTACAATTACACAAATTATGCTTGTTAAACAAATAAAGGAATTTAACCAATTAATGAAAGGAAGATAATTTAATTATACAAAGAAATCAATTTAAACAATTAAACAAGTGACCATTAATTAAATAATTAAATAAATTAAGTAAAGAATTTAAAAGTGCACAAAAACCGTAAAAGAAAATACCGAGACTATCCTTTTAAAAGTAGGGGTATTACAATACTCCCATGAGTGATAGAAAGCTTTTATGTTACTACGATCGGGAATGTCAATTGGAGGATCCGCAGTAGCAGTTGATCAGTAGATGGAGTTAATGCAAAATATGCGAGAAGAGTTCTTACAACAATTCGAAACGCTTCGTCAAGCAAACGAGGCTAGCACATAGCTTCAACAGAGGAATGATGCCCTCTAAACAGCCATGGCCCAGATAGCACCACAGCCATCCCCGAGTGATGCAGCAGCACCTCCCCCCAGCCACAACATTCCTCCGGTTAACGACCCTCAACCCAATGAGGTTTGGCCTAATGAAGTTCAACACGAGTAGAGGACAAGAACCGAGGTGGTCGCTTCGGGCAATCATCCTCATCGCACGCAGGATGAACAGGCCGAATCCAGCCGTAAGCTCATGCTATGGTCTAATGGCATTCCAGATGGCGTTGGCGTTCAGGAGGCCTTTGATGAGAAGAAGCTCATAAGGATTCAGACGCCCGTCGAGATGGCCAGAAAGCATAAGAACTCTCTAATGAAGACTCCGTTCATCGATAACATATACTATGTTGACATACCTAAGAAATTTACCATGCCTTCTTTCACTCAGTTTGATGGTACATGAGATCCTTCTCGTTAGCTCGACCACTATTCGCAGAAGATGTCTCTAGACAATCACAATAATGCATTTATGTGTAAGGTTTTCCCGACTAGTCTAACGGGAACCACATTGGAATGGTTCAAGAATAGGCCGCACAAGTCCATTCTGAACTATAAAACTTTGTGCACCATGTTCCTAGCACAGTATTGCGAAAACAAGAAGTAGAAGAAGACCATCGCTAGTCTCTTCACCATAAGGCAAAAGAAAGGAGAAGCGCTACAGGATTTCCTGTCTAGATTTAACATGGGGGCCTCGGAGATAGCAGATTGTCATCCAGAGACTGCAGACTCTCAATGTTAGGGCACAAATATTCCCCTCCTGACATGCAGACTCTCAATGTTAGGGCACAAATCTACATTCAACTTGAGGAGAATGTAGCCCAACGAGCATAACATGCCACCCTCGTCACGGTAGAAAGTAAGCCTCGGGAAAAAGCTTTAAGTTCAGAAACTCAAAGAAGCCAACATGCTTCAGCATCAACTGCCCAAATACCTGAGAAAATACAAAGGACCAAGGAGAGTTTCACACTTCTTCGTACCACATTGGCTCAGTTATTCCAAGATAGCAAAGAAAGATTCACCGCCCCTCAACCAATGAGACAACCCCTGGAGTAATGGGACAGAAGTAAACACTATGCCTACCACAGAGATTATGGGCATACAACTAATGATTGCAGATCCCTCAGGCGAAAGGTGGAAAATATGATAACGAGAGGAGATCTAGCAGACTACCTCGCACCAAAAGAGCAGGCAAGGATGAGGGAAGCCAATCCTCGGAAAGTAAAAGGAAGCCAAGTAAAGGTCATCCATGCGATACATGGGAGGTCAAAAGAAGACCAAGAGTCAGAGGAGGTATACCGTTCCAGGTTAAGGGTAGCCCATAAGCTAAGGAGGTTATCCTTAGTTAACACTATTGCTTCGGGCAGTATTAATTTTGGGTTCGGAGATAGAGATCTATCCAGAGTTCAACTCCCCCATGAAGATCCACTTGTCATTAGTCTTCTGGTAGCAAATTACATAATCAAAAGAGTTTTAGTAGACCTAGGTAGTAGTGCCAATATTATAACAAAGACAGTCTTTGAACAATTAGAGATCCCATCATCTTCAATTCGGCCCACTTCCAGTCCATTGATGGGGTTCGATGGGACGAAGGTGGACCCCATTGGAGTAATCGATTTATCTGTCACTGCTGCGAAAAGGACATTGAAGGAAAATTTTGTTCTGACAAAAATCCATCCTTCTTACAATCTCATTATGGGAAGAGGTTGAATCCACTGAATGAATGTGGTCCCATCTACCCTTCATTAGTTAAGGTGATGCTTATCCCCAGATGGAAAAGAGATCATTAATCTTTGGGGAGATTAAGTCACTGTAAAAGAATGCTATATGCTAGCGTTGAACGAGGCAAAGAAAAGGGTCAAGCAATCCAAGCCATATGCGACCCCTGAATATATTCCCAAATAGCAATTACAGAGTCCTCTGCCCAAATACTTGAAAGCAGAAGAGGAAGCTGAAGCTACAAAACCTACCGAGGAATCTTTCATAACTGTCGAAGTTGTCCTCGGTGCAAGCAGTCCAAGGTAGATGCGACCCCCGAATATATTCGCAAATAGCAATTACAGAATCCTCTGCCCCAATATTTGAAAGTAGAGGAGGAAGCTGAAGCTACAAAACCTACTGAGGAATCTTTCGTAACAATCGAAGTTGTCCTCGGCGAAACCCTGAAATCATTTACATGGGCTCTTCCCCCACAGCCGAAGAGAAGGGAGTGTTAATTGATGTCATCCGACGGCATACAGATGTGTTTGCCTGGGATCATTCGGATATGCTGGGAATCAACCCTTTGATTTCATGCCATAGCCTGAAGGTGGATCCTTCATTCAAGCCAATGAAGCAAAGGCATAGAAGGTTTGCTCCAAAGCGTAACCAAATCATTGCTGAAGAATTAAGCAAGTTGCTTCTAGCAGGTTTCATCCGAGAAGTGCATTACCCACAATGGCTCTCGAACGTAGTGGTGGTTCAAAAGAAGAATAGAAAATGGAGGGTTTACATAGATTTTACCAATCTCAACAAGTCTTGCCTTAAGGATAGCTTTCCACTACCCAAGGTAGATCAAATGGTTGATGTTACCACTAGTTATGAGAGACTCACATTCCTTAATGCATATTCTGATATAATTAGATCCCTATGAATCCAGAGGATGAAGAGAAAACCTCCTTCATTACAGAGAAAGGAACTTACTATTATAAAGTCATGCCCTTTAGACTTAAGAATGCTGGGGCCACTTACCAACATCTCATTAATAAGATCTCTGACGAGATGCTGGGAAAAATGGTTGAAGCCTACATCGATGACATGGTGGTTAAAAGTGTGAAGAAGGAGGATCATCTTAAGCACCTCTAAGACGTCTTTGACATTTTGAGAAAGTATAACATGAAACTGAATCCTTCCAAGTGTTCTTTTGCGGTCTCTTCAGAGCAATTCCTCGGCTATATTGTCAACAAGAGAGGAATAGAAGTCAGCCTGGCTCAAGCTTAGGCCCTCATGCAGAATCAAGAACCAAAAACTCGCAAGGAAGTAGAGGTTCTAACCGGTTGAATCGCAGCTCTTAGCCACTTCATATCCTGGTTGTCTGATAAGTGTAAACCATTTTTTGACGCTATAAGATCGAAGAACAAGGATTTGAGGGGACCTTAACAGCAGGAAGCACTCAATCGGTTAAAGTATTACATAGCAAAACCACCATTTTTATCTGCTCCAAAGCTTGATGAAGCCCTCATCATGTACTTAGCAATTTTTAGTATAGCTACTAGTGTCGTACAAATCCAAGAATTAGTACCAGATCTTTTACACAAGTAAGATGATGACAGATGCTAAAACAAGATATAGCAAGGTACAGAAGACGGCACTATTTCGAGTCTCATAACATTGTGGTCCTTACCAACTACCCTATGCAAGCTATTCTTTCCAAGCCAGATTTATCTGGAAGAATCACTAAGTGGGTAATCGAACTCAGTTCCTTCAATATAGCTTATGAGCCAAAGGTGTCATACAAAGGACAAGTGTTAGCCGATTTTCTCTTAGAATATGAAGATAAGCCCGAAGAGCCAGAGCTTCTTAAACTACAATGGGAGTTTCGGGTAGATGGTTCCTCAAATCTAACCAATACAGGGGCTGGAATCATTATTACAATTCCTGGAGGCACTAAGCTGCAACAGTCAATCCATTTGAATTTTCCTGCCACTAACAATAAAGTCGACTATGAGGCCTTGCTCACCGGGCTTCGGTTGGCGAACCAACTCCAGGTAATGTGCCAAAAGGTTTTTAGCGACTCCCAACTTGTTGTAAGTCAGGTGAAAGGAAAGTATCAGCCTAAAGAAGAAAGAATGAAAGCATACAAGGAAGTTATAGAGAGTGCTACACACATATTTAATTAAATCAAATTCCATCAAGTACCTCGAGAAGAGAACTCCGAAGTAGATCACGGCATCTTCCTCGAACAAAGATTTGGTCCGGATAGTGCCTATCGACATCCTGGATGAACCTAGCATAATTCCTCAGTTGCAAGTAATGGTGATCCCGGACATTCCACGAGAGCCATGTTGGATGGACCCGCTAGAAGTTTACCTCAAACACGGGACCCTTTTGAACCAGAAAGCCGAGGCAAGAAAAGTAAGGTTCGTCGCAGCCAGATACTCCATTATTAATAACCAGTTGTATAGAAAATCATTTTTAGGACCTTTCTTGAAGTGCTTAAGCGCTACTGAGGCCCTAAAAATACTAAAACAGATTCATGATGGGGATTGTGGCAACCACTCTGGTGGAAGATCCCTCGCGCATAAAGTTTTAACTCAAGGTTACTTTTGGCCATACCTGGCTCGGAATGCTAAAAAGTATGCCAGGAGATGTGATAAGTGCCAACGATACAGTCCAATGAAGCATCAGTCTGCTGACGATTTACACGTAATGGCAAATCCGTGGCCATTCGCACAATGGAGAATTGATATGGTTGGACCTCTACTCAAAGCTGTGGAGCAGAAGGAATATGTGTTACTAGCCACAGACTACTTCGCAAAGTGGGTAAAGGCAGAGGCTTTCTTAAGTGTGACTCATGAGCAAGTAAAGAGTTTTTTATTGAACAATATAATCTGCCGATTCGGAGTGCCGAAGGCTATCGTGATGGACAATGGTAAGAACTTGGATAACAGAAGTACGAGAAAGTTCTTTGCCGAACATGGAATTAGGCAGAAGTTGATCGCGGTTAGTCATCCACAAGGGAATGGGCAGGCTAAAATAACTAATCGAACCATCTTTAATTGTCTGAAGAAAAAGTTGGAGTAGCTCAAATCGAAGTGGTATGGGAATCTACCTAAGGTAATTTGGGCATACCGAACCACCTCACGACGGCCAACGGCAAAAAGTCCCTTCGCAATGGCCTATGGGTCCGAAACTGTCATCCCTACAGAATCAACAGTTTCAACCCTTCGAACGTCCTTGTTACTCGAAGGAAACAATAACCAGCAGCTCGAGCATATCCTCGGCCTCTTAGAAGAAAAAAGAGATGCCGCAGTAGTTAGGCTTGCCTCGTACCAATAGTAGTTGCGTAACAGTTACAACAAGCGAGTCAGGTTCAGATGCTTTGTAGTAGGAGATTGGGTGATGAAGCAGGAAATGGCACATGTAAAGAAATTGCAACCCAATTGGATCGGACCCTACATAGTCACAAAAGTGGTATGGAAAGGAGCCTACAGACTAGCTAAAGCCAATGGGCGCGTAATCGCACACCCATGGAATGCCATACACCTTAAAAGGTATTATCATTAGGAAGATTCGTCAATTTATTTATAATTTCTTTATGCACGTAAGGTTGCTCATGGCCATATAATCAATTTTTGTATTGATGCTTACATCCTCTTTTATAAGTATGTGATGCTTCACGTAATGGATGGCGTTGGGTATACGTGTGATCAACGGTCCCGTGAATCCAACGATCTTCTTTGCATCTACAAGTAATCAATCCACCTGAGTGCATTGATATTTGTGGTCACTTTTTAATATTCGGTGGGGGATACTATTTCACTTCATGATTTTGTAATTCTTTCTTTTCCTAAAAGGGGGCAAGACTAGTACCCTAATGTGTATACCCTATTATGTATCGATATGAAAGACAAAACAGACAAAACAATAAACAATTGTTCATTTTTAGAAACTACTTTCATTGCGTTTTTAAGCAAAAACTTAATTCTACTTTTATCCCACATCGATAAAAAATACCTTTAAACATTTCTTTATATAGGGAAATATTAAAATATCTAAATGCATTGCAAAGTGGGCCCGCTAGAGACGAAGACAGCCCAACCCAAATTCTGTTCAAAGTCTTAGTACTAGCGGGCATTCTTTGCAATAATTCTTTCTTTTTAAAGCCCAAAATTTCTGGCCCACACTCTAAACTCTATTTTTGTCCCACATTGATTGGAAATAAAAAGAGTGTGTAGTTAATATACTCATGGCTCTTCACATCTAGACGCCACGAAGAGAGTCTTTGTGGAAGATAGTCTCCCAAACAAATGAATGGGAGACTTCCAAGACACGGTTACTCTTTTTCGTGGCCTCCTGTTTGCGAATTATTCTACATACGTGGTATTTTTTCCACCTTAGACTTCGGACCTTAAGAGTCCGAAGGATACAATACAATTCCTCTCAGGCTCATAGCCGAGGAATTACATGCTTCGAACCCTAAGTGTCCAGTACAAAATAATTCCTCTCAGGCTTATAGCCGAGGAATTACATGTTTCAGATCCTAAGTGTCCAGTACAAAACAACTCCTCTCAGGCTCATAGCCGAGGAAACATGCTTCAGACCCTAAGTGTCCAGTACAAAACAATTCCTCTCGGGCTTATAGCCGAGGAATTACATGCTTCGGATCCTAAGTGTCCGGTACAAAACAATTCCTCTCAGGCTCATAGCCGAGGAATTACATGCTTCAGACCCTAAGCGTCCGGTATAAAACAATTCCTCTCAAGCTCATAACCGAGGAATTACATGCTTCGGACCCTAAGGGTCCGGTACAATGAAATATTACTCTAAGGCATACGCAACTACTAAAGAACTTAACACCTCGGGCCTCATAAGTCCAAAGGTATTCCAATGGGTCTAAACCCAATTGGGGGCAAAGATTCTTTATGGATGTCATACTTTCGGCCCTAATATTTGGCCCAATAATGTTAGGCCCATCAAAAGTTTGTCCCACATTGAAATCATACAGGAAA